ATAAAAGACTTACCTCTGTTCAACATATGCTAGTGATGGAAACATATACATTGAGTGCAGAAACACTCCATCAGCTCATTTCAATGGAATTCGCTATGAATCAGTCTGAATTTTCTGATTGGTCATATAAAGAACAGGAGGTAAGACAATGTGTACATAATTTCATCTTTAGGTATATCCTTCGAAATCTCTGAATCCAATAAAGAGATAACACTCCATTTAGGATAAAAATATATATGCGAACATTGCCAGATTCACTTCAATTTCTCCATATTGGTCACAAAAAATCACGTGACCTATTATCGAATTAATCGGCAGCCAATAATAAGGGCCCTTTTTCCTTCTCCATTTGATCACATCTGGCAATGTTTATTTGTTATTGGAAAATATAATGAATATAGAGTGAATAATGAATATAGAAAAAATGAAGACCAAAAATGGACGTCCTGAAAACGTACGCTCTGTACGTCCCGAAGACGTACGGCATGGTACGTTCTGAGGACGTCCATATTAGGTTCCGGGACGTACGGACACGAATCGGACGTAATATGTACGTCCCCGGAACGTCGTGTGCTATCTGGGTTAGTAGTAAAAACACACTTCATTCCTTGACAATGAGTAAATAATGGTATGTTTTGAAGCTAGTGGTGAAAAAAATATGTTTTTTTTGTGACGGGAAAAAAAGTTTGGCATTTCGTCTCTGTTGGCAGGTTATAAAATGTCACTTCTCATGAATCACTTTTTTCCCGTAGGAAAAAAGTGAGTACTTTTTTCCCGGATAAATATCACATATAAATACACTCTTAATGGCTTTTGTTGTGATATAGTTCCGAAAAATGAGTCAATAATACCGTCTCCGAGGAAGAACTGCAAGTCCTTTCATCTTCCATTCGACTTCGCGGTTACGTATATTACTGAACAACCACTAAATTTGCAATTTTGTGCAAATGAATCACAGAATTAGACTGACAGAAGTGACATCAGATATTTGATTACTTCAGAAGAATGATAAAGATGCCTACAACGCAGGTGTCCCTACTGTTAAAAACTTAAAATTTCACATCGATACTTTTCAGATTTCAAAATAATGTAATATCTTCTCAATATTGATTCGTCCTGCCTTCTGTCACAGGGAAGAATAGTGTATTATACACGGGAAAATATCAGATTTTAGCTCACGGTTTTTTGTCTCCCTCCGCTACGCGTCGAGACAACACAACCTGGAGCTAAAATCTACTACTTTTTTTCCTTGTATAATTAAAAGCTATTATTGAATACCAAAAACTCAGTCATTTCCATAAATTTTCATGAACTAAAAAACAAAGGTAGATGACGGAAGAAAAACATCATCTACTATCGTTGTTCATTTTATGAACATTTGTGGGAATTCCTTTGAGTTTTGGAATTTAATCAACATTTCATTTCACATTGGGAGCTCCTTGGCTATTTCGATATGTACTTGCATTATTTTTCCTAATAATGATTAATTCGTCGTCCATCCACGCCTGGCCACAATTTTTTCACAATATATCTTAGAGAACACCTTGAAATGTCTCTGCACTGCCTCAGATGAACTCGACAAGTCCAGTCAGTTGAACCGCTGTGGATAACCATCAATGTGATTTGTCTTCCAGAGGCAATCCTTTTGGACATCAGTGCCGTGCGTTTTCATAGAAAAGAAGAGGTCAATTTCTCATGAAACCGTCAAATGATTTTTTTTTCGAAAAAACTAACTCAATATTATTGTTCTCCGTGATTTCAAACCCCTGTTATCGAAAAATCACCACATTCCGAATTTACTTCATTTTTCACATTTTCTGCCTCGCAAAAATAGTGATTCCAAACTTACTGCGCAAATTGTGAATAGTTCAATAGCAACGGTAGATATAAAACTATGATTTGAAAGAAAAAAACAAGATATACTTTCTTCAGTTAAACTCGCCCTTGTCGACAAAATGATAATTTACGTTCACAGATATGATGTTTAGATGTGCCTCTCTGTTTGGAATCCTCTATATATAGTATATTAAATTCCACTTATGAGAGTTTGAAGCAATGAAGAACAATATTATAATATCAGATTTCCCGTAGAAAATCACCTAATATATTTTCACAATGAACTGACTCCTTTTCTGTCCAATAAAAACGCACTGCACTGTCAAAATAATGTTGGTTTCTGAAATACTGATCATATTGATGATAATTCACTTCGATCCAAATTTGGTGAGATTCGCAAGACTAAAATAGCTGTATATCGAACAACTCTTCACCAGAATTTGTTTGTTTATAGAACGGCAAAGCGCAAAGCTTCGGAATTCTTCTCGGAAAGCAGTATTCTCAAGAACTCATAACCTCCAAGAGATGAAGAATTCTAATGCATACTTTTTTTTTCTTGTTCTCTACGCAAGATGTTTTTCGAACATAATATAAGAATTCGCTCTCGTGCGTAATCAAAAGATGAGTGTCATCAGGGTTTCTATGGACGATTCATCACGAATGATAATCACAAAATACGTCGGAAATAGGCCGTATCTGTGCTTTGTAGACATGTGAATCTGCTGAGATGTAAAGTAGCTTCTCGCACGAGTTTTCGTGAAACAGCTTTTGCGATAGATCGGATATGATTTTCCCATGGCAGTATTGTTGATGAAAATAACAAGCAGAGATATAGTGGACTTTGCGGGAATAGTGGTACAGACAGTGAGTTATCAGGTATACTGAGTTTCGCCTTTCTAGAGAAAATACAAGCTTGACTTCTAGTGGCGTTGAATTCAGGTTGTCGGTTTCCTAGGCTGTAATCTTAGCAAGATCCTAATTGACAGCGTTGACCTGCCTTCACCATGAGGTCTTAGTTTTCTCAAAAGGAATGGGAATTCTGCAAAGCTGTGGATTCGGCTAGTGGTTCATTGGTTGACATGTTTGATATAAAGAAGGAACAACGTTTGTGTCGAAATCGATTCTTGTGGAACGCCGGAATTGATGGTTATATAATATCAGACGATACTCCGTTCACCACCAAATGAAGCGATCTGCCTGAAAAGATACTTAATAATAGCTGGCACAGCTGAGGTGGAAGGCAGTATATGATGGTAGTTCGTGGGGAACTCCCTGGTGCCAAACACGTTCGAATGCTTTCGATATATCCAACGCCACAGCTAGAGATTTTCTATGCTTTGCTAATGGAGCTTATATGGGTGACTTAGGCAAGTTGATCTACAGTTTATCTTTGATGGTGAAAGCAATATTTTCTATCATTAATGATTTCTGAGCATTCCAGATATTTGATAAGCTCAATGTTGATAACTTCCTTCATCACTTTCGAAATAATTGAAAACAGAGCAATAGGCCTATAGTTGTTGAAAAGGATTTTGTTTCCTCTTTTGGGGATCGGTTGGACTCTAGCTATTGAACAGCACGATAAAAAAACACTCGACTTGTTCAAAATGGTGAATTACTAGCAATAAGAATGATGAGCAGAATTCCATCAGGACCAAGCTGAATGCGTCTGATGGTGCGTTGACGCTATTGACGATTTCGGGCATTCCATGGTTTCTGCTTCTGGATGGTTATGTTGGATCATGTCAAGCTTTGAAGACAAGAACTCGAAAAGCTCTTCGATCAGTAGAGACAACAAAGATATTTTGTCGGTTTCGTGCTCTCGAGTTCGTACCACATGACATTGAACTTATTTAGTTCCAATTTTTTTCACGATGGCATAAGAGATTCGATAGAATAGCGGCAGATAAACCTTCCTTGGACCTGGAACATGATTGTGTTGATGGATGAATTGACATGTGTCCAAGTCATGATCAATATGTCTGGCTTTGCAGTTCGGATATGTCGATAGACATCGTTTATGTTTCTACTTAAATCGCGGATGTTACGAACTGAATGGAGAAGTACCGATTTCACTTCCGAGTAGTTTTACTCAGAAGAACCTATCATCAATTTTTCTGTATTGGAGAAAAACGTTGACGTGGAAGGAAAAGGAAGTCGCTCTGTTTGGTTGGTCAGAAACATCAACCAGCTACTGAAACATGGGTATACTCATTTCACAGCGCCTAGGGTCGATGTGGTGGTATCGCACCTAACAATGGTGTGAGTCATCTTCCACCTATCGGAGTCCTCTCAGTCGCCTTCTAGGGCATACAGAACCCATTCTAGCCCAACTGCCACACGGGCAAAATTGAATTGAATTGAATGTACTTCATTCAAACACTCTTGTTATTTTCGACAACAAATAACATCGTCATATATCTGCATGAAGGTTCTGTAGAAACCTTGTTTTGTCTCAATAGTTTCAGAGGCCAACAATTCTCTGGATTCAATATTGGTCTAGGATAATATATCTCTAGTTACCTACTTCATCAGAAAAGATTTGGAAAACGCAAATAATCTACTGAGTGCTATCTTTTTGTGCAAAAATCAATCGATTCACTCCATGGGCACGCATCTGTGGTAACTGGATCAACTGTAATAAAGGGACATTAGAAATACGTCTCCTGTATTCCAATCAATTTTGTTATCGTCTTCCAGTTCCTGTAGATATAACAGTTCGGTATAGGTATCCATCTTCAATTATCTATAATATGATGCATGAGAATATTGTACCTACTTAATATTGATGATTGTGATTTTATTTATAGTCTTCAATGCAGGAAATTTCCATTTACATTTCCACTCTGTTTTTTGTTCGATAACTTATGACGATACGTTTTGTTCATGGTGTCAATAACACGTAGCAAATCATACTGATATGATTGTTCCAGCATATGTTTATATTTCTAATTACGTAGGTATATCTGTTGAGGCATAATCACATAATTCACCAAATAACTCTAGAAATAGATTCTTATGTTTTTGAAACACTGTTTGAATTCATAAATACATATCTTCTGACCCCTAACTTTGCTTATCGCTAGATGATGATATGAGCAAATAAAGCTTTGTTGCAATGAAGGTCAGATATATTACCTAATATTTATCTCTTTATATTTCAGTCCCCTTCACTTCTGAATACCCTTAGAAGAAATTATTCATCAAATGTGTCGCCAACCACCAAACTCTTCATCGATGGAAAATTCTTGAATTCTAAAGCAACGGAATGGGTGGATCTATTCGATCCTGCTACAAATAAATTAGTCACTCAAGTACCAATTAGTACAAATGATGAGATGGAGGCAGCTGTAGAATCATCTAAAACTGCATTCAGATCATGGAGCAAAACATCAGTATTAACTAGACAGCAACTCATGCTGAAATTTCAAGCAGTTATTAGAAGGGACATAAAGAAATTGGCCCAAAATATCACCTTAGAGCAAGGAAAAACACTAATCGATGCCGAAGGAGATGTGATGAGAGGGTTACGTGAGTATGAATTAGATTAGTGATGCAGAAATACATTTCCTACTAAAGCATTATCATACAGGGTGAGTCATGAGGAACTGTACATGCTCCTACTACGAATAAAGGCAGCTGAGGGGAATACCAAATGACCATCAGAAAGTGTCTCCGCCTCTTCTAAAATGATCTATAGGGTGATTTATGGGATATGGCCAAAACTTCTGTCAATCATAACTTTCCAACAGTTCTTTCGATTCCTTTCATTTTTTCTTGGATTATTATGCTGTCACTCAGCAATCAACTGACGTTTTCAGAATCGTGAAAATCCAGGACCGGTCTTGAGAAATTCTGCCAATTTGGTTCATATAAAAAATTTCACTCTGTATGAGGTTTTAGTAAACTGTGATATGGAATTTCTAAAGTTGATGAACAGGCAACCAAAATGAAGTATTTCAAATTTTCCTCACAATTTCATTGAATTTCTTAGAAAATGATTAATTTAAACTACACACGAAACTTGGGCAACAAATGTATTAATTTCAAAATTAATACTTCGCAATGCATGAATTTCACGAATAAAAGTAAGGGTAAAATTATTCCTGATTCTTGTTTGTCAACTCCGAACATTTCATGTCACAGTTTATTAAAATCATATACAGGGTGCAATTTTTGGTGACTATCACCATCATGTACCAAAAATTTACTGAATCCAACCCTGGATATAGATGAATGTTGATTTTCAGTGAACTGAAGAATAGGAAATGATGTTATTCTTGCTTCTATTCGTGAAATTCTTGGGGTGCGAAGTATTCATTTTCAAATTAATACATTTGTTGCGAAAGTTTCACGTGTAGTGAAAATTGATCGTACTCTAAGAAATGCTGTGAAACTCTGAGGAAAATTTGAAATACTTAATTTTGGTTGCCAGTTCATCAACTTTGACAATTCCATATTACAGGTTACTAAAACCATATACAGGGTGTAATTTTTGATGATTATTACTCTCTACTAAAAAATTACTGAATCCAACCCTGGAAATAGAAGAATGTTGATTATTGTTGAGCTGAAGAATTGAGAATAATATTATCCCTACTTTCATTCGTGAAATTCATGCGTTGCGAAGTATTAATTTTCAAATTAATACATTTATTGCCCAAGTTTCGTGTGTAGTTTAAATTAATCATTTTTTAAGAAATTCAATGAAATTGTGAGGAAAATTTGAAATACTTCATTTTAGTTGCCTGTTCATCAACTTCAGAAATTCCATATCACAGTTTACTAAAACCTCATACAGGGTGAAATTTTTTATATGGACCAAATTGGCAGAATTTCTCAAGACCGGTCCTGGATTTTCACGATTCTGAATACGTCAGTTGATTGCTGAGTGACAGCATGATAATCCATGAAAAAATGAAAGAAATCGAAAGAACTGTTGGAATGTTATGATTGAAAGAAGTTTTTGCCATATCTCATTAATCACCCTATAGATTATTTTAGAAGAGGCGGAGACACTTACTGATGGTCATTTGGTATTCCCCTCAGATGCCTCTGTTCGTGGTAGGAGCATGTACAGTTCCTCATGACTCACCCGTATAGTTGGGAGTCCTCAACATTTCTACTCATGCCCTGGAAATTTGAATTATTTCATGAGAGTAGCTCCTATCAGTCCGGCGGCAGCCTCGGTTTATCTTGCACCAACCCAAAATTTCGGTATAACTTAATGGGACCTTTGCAGACCGATTTGTATTGTAATTTTACATGTGGAATGGAAATCTACAACACGCCACGTTGGTCGTGACAAGAGTTATGAGGAAAAATCGAGAAATAATTGCAATTTTATAATTTTTAAATTTAATTGCTGTAACTACTGGTCTAATAGAGGTATCTGAATGATTTTTGCGCTGATCGATAGGCTCATGTATGTACTTTATGATGTCTATTCAGTAATCCATAATTTTTCGATAAAATTTTGAAAAAATCACATCATTCACTTCCTTTTAGAAATTTCAATGACATATTTTTTATTTATCTCGCTGGAACTCATACATCGTTAATCCAATTCAGACTTTTTTAACACCAAAAACTGCGGAATTATTTTCTGAATATTTGGTCTCGCTTATGTATAGATCTAGGTAGGATGGTAAATCAGCTACAGGCAATTAAACGCAACGGTACTCACTGTTCTTCGTTTCCCTGCCGCCATCCCTCAGCGCTTAGATACTGCTTTGGGTTGGAATAATAAAACATTGTGATGAAGTGTTTTTGACCAGCTTTATTACTAGACTGGTTCTGATTGATATCTAAGTAACCTGAGACTGATTCTACTTGAATTTCACTTGTTCGAAAGCTCGAAACCTGAAAACCTGAGAGAGCTGAGTACTGCATTGATTCCTGACTTCCCAAAGCATTTCCTGATAGTTAACTCTGATAAACATCATAACAACCCTAGAGACTTCAATATTTCTCAACCCTTTGCTCATGATATGAAATTTGATTGAATTACTTATCAGTTGAAATGATGGATGTTTACCTTGCCCTTACTCTTTTGTTATTGGATATTTTCCATGTACCATTTTTTCCGCATGCTTGTGAGTTTAAGAACATGTGCTTTTGGATGATAGTTCCTGCAGCCATAGTTGAGGATTCCAACCAATAAGAACCTAGGATCGAGCTGTCCTTGTATCGAGGTCAAGGGGGGAATATAAATACTAAGAAATCGCTCTCTTCTCTTCTCTACAAGTCTGCACTACCTGCTCGACCTGCTCTTCAAGCTCTTGGTTCTCTTGCTGATCTCTTAGTGCTCTCATATTTCATTCAAAACCACTGTAAAATGCTAATGTATAGTGATTTTCTGTTACACATGTGAGTTTGTACATTTGACCATTATTATTCATCCTGTTCATAGATTCATTTCATTCATGTTGTTTTTCATACCGATACTCACCCGACCTGTGTGAAGAATCCACAACTTTGTATTTGCGAATAAACGGTTTTTGCGATTGCATATTTCAGATTTTGTTCTCTGTTGTCATTGTTTTAGTTCCGAATAGTTCCATTGATGTATTCAATGATTTTCGATATTTTCATTTCTCAAAATTGCAGATTATTATTATTGACTGACGACTGACATTGACAAGCCAGTCGTCAATTCTTCTTCTTTTCCTTGAGAAATCTAGTCCTGTGCACCGGTGTCTCTGTGTTTTGAGTCTCATTCCTATCAAAAATCAAATCAACATAAGTTCAAATATTCGAACATATCTGTTTAGGGGTCTCGAATTCATGGAGCATCATGCCACATGGGACTCGTCGATGTGATTGATTATATTTTTTAAAACTGTGTGTTCTTTGAATATTTCTGAAATGAGAGACTCAAAAGTATCTGATGGTAACTGGTAATTGTTCAAAGCATGAGTAAATGTTGCTTGAATTTGTGATAGTATTTCGCAAGTATTACATCATGATGTGAAAGTATCACACATGTATTACATAGCCATGTTCAAGTATTGCACGATGTATTGCACAAGTATTATATTACAATGTGGTAGTATTGCATGAGTATTGCATAGTATTGCAGAGTATTGATGCATAGTATTACATTAGTATTGCACCAGTATTACATTAGTATTGCATAGTATTGCATAGTATTGCATGGTATTACATCAGTATTGCAAAGTATTACACAACCATTGCATGGTATTATATGAGTGACTACCCCCTCGACTGCATCCCATTAAAAATTGCAATCCACATAAAAATATTATATATGTTCGATATATCACTTCTAGAAGCAATCGAATAGGTTACTAAAAAACAGTTCATTTCATATACGGGGTATGATACATGAATTTGAATCGAAGTCATTGAAGAAATTCAAAAATGTTGGTGTAAAAAACAGGTCCTCCCATTGAAAATAATAAAAAGAGACGGAAAAACCGAAAGCTTCACAATAACCAAAATATCCTGGTTGGATTTTCCATGTTTTTTCACCGGTCCCACGAATTGTGCTACTCTAAGTTCTCCATATTTGGATCGTGTTACCGTTACCGTTAACTCATGAAGATATAACCTGTATATAACGTACCATTCAGGTCGAAAATATTTGTATATAGTACTAAAAGTCTATTGGAGACTGATCTGTGTGATTTGTCATCCCGTCTAATATTGTTTTCTATGAATACCCTATATATTTCTGTTATCATTCCTGCTAGACCTCAAGTATAATTTATTGAAGTAGAATCTGAAAATGCAATAATATACAGGGCGCATTCCAATTCGAAAATAGCAACTTTGTTACATTTCGTGTTTTTGGCACACCTTGTACATAAAAATATTTTTGGAATGTAGCGTTAATAGTTCTCTATTCATCCGAAAGAAACAAACATTTTCAAAAAATCAAATGCTTTAGGAATGCACAATGCTTCCTGTCGAATAACGTGAATAACCCTGTATAGGTAGGTACATATAGAACGATAGTTATTTCTTTTTTCATCAAAACTATTTGAAATATCTTCGAAACTTTTCACCAATAATACAATTTTGACATATGGCGTGAAGTGCGTTTGGACTGCTTATGGGTTTATATTCAAAATTGTCTAATTTTTTTAAGCAGTGTGCTCAATAGCAGCCAATTCACCCGTATCGTCTGCATTGTATTTGGGATAGCGTATTATTCGTTGATACTCTACAAAGCAATGTGCAGTGCAGAACACAGAGTATGATGTGGCGCTCTGCTGTACTGCACATGGTTTCGGAATAACGCTACGTCGTTGATGATCTACAAAACACTGTGCATCATAGAACACAGAGTATAACGCGGGCGCTCTGTACTGCACATGGGTTCGGAAATCAACATGCATTAAATAATGTATACTATATAGAAGTATTGTCGGTTTCGCCTGCAAAGATGGAATGAAGAGAGATCATCAAGATCTAGGAAATAGAAAAAATCTGTATTCAGAAAATCACATCACTTTCGAGTTATACTGGGAAGTTTTCATTTCCTCTAGTCATTCCTTATTCTTCTT